AAAACTTTCGGAACGCCGATGTATGATATGGGAATCATGCAGATGACACCTTATGCCTGTAGGACCTGGTCACAGTCAACGCTGTGTCCGGAGCCTGTGCAGAGGGACGCCGCTGGCCAGTTGCTTCGCAGCTTCTTCAGGGCTTGGCGAGGGAGACGCCTGGACGAAGCAGACCGGCTGCATAGTTTCCGATTGCTCTTGATTGTGCCAGAGCGCTGAGGCAGCTGCGAGGCGATGAAGTCTCCTTCTGCTCTGCAATCAGTGCATCCCAACAGGCCTTTCAGATGTTGGACAAGCAGTACCTCATTGCCTTGTGCAGAGATCCTGCCTAAGCTGTGCCTGAACGTCAGGAATGGCCAGTGGCGATGCACATGTTATCTACATTTCGTGGTTCTTTTCCAGCCAGTAGAGTGGCCTACAACACCGCCGCTCGTCTGTCCGGGCTTGCGGACGCGCATTCATTATTCATTGGCAAGCATGGTGGCATGCCTGCTTCACCATCAGCGTGACAATTTGCCTGCAGGCGACTGCAGCCGCTGAGAAAGGCTCTTGTTGGCAACTGGCACTTCTCTTGTTTGCGAAGATGGGCCGGAGCCTTAACTTTGGGGGTCACAGCATGTGGGTCTTTTTAAGGCGCTGGGCGTGCTAACAGGCCTAGAGCGGCTGATGCCTGACGTTGTTGCCTATAACGTGGCGATGAGTGCGTGGCAGAAGGAGGAATTCTGGCAGTGTGCCATGCTTTTGCTGCGTGCGCTGTGGAACTGCCAACTCCAAGCAAGTGCAATTACATACAGAGCCTTGCCTTCGTAAAAGAGCACTTTCAGAGCTGCGCAGACGCTGACATGGCAGCTGAAAATGTTTTACTGTAGCTTCGAGCCCATGGTGTCATTTCATTTTTCAAGCAATTCAAACTCTGAGGTGTGGTGATAGGGGCCTGCCATACTGCCGGGCGCTGGACTTGGGCTCTGCACTTCTTGCAAAAACTGGGCCGGGAAGCCGATGTGCCCTGGCTGTTGCATGCTTCCATATCTCGAGCTGACGCTTTCTGTGCCACTTGATGCAAGTGTATCTTCAGGTGCCCAATGTGATCACTCTCAATGCAGCCGCCTGGATAATTGCTCAATGTTGCTCAGCCTCACGCAGCGTTGACAAGAGGGCGGCTGTGGTGCACGCTGCATCAGGTATTGAGTTGTTGCGCTCAGCAGCAGCGCTGGCAACGCGCACTCTCCCTCTTCTCAGGGGGCGGCCTGCAAGATGTGGTCACGCATGCCGCTACGCTGACTGCCTGCGAGGTGGGCTTCAGGCACACTGAATCTTCTCTTTGGCCAGCTATTGGGACCTACTACAGGGCGTAGAACCAACCTCCTACAATAGCTTGGCGATGCTGGTTGCTCGTCAGGTACCGTGAAGCTGCTGCAGTGATGTTTCACCTTGACAGGACAGGCTTGACTGCCAGCCTCCGCAGCTTCGCGCAGAAACTTTGCCGTTTGCATCGACTTACTGCTGCAGATGCTGCAGAAGTGTGGGTGCTGCCGTTCTTTGTGGTGCAGACGTGTATGGAACCCGCCTGTTTTTTTGACAAGTCTTGGAGTTTAGTGAGAGCCCTGTCGCATCCCCTCGTGGGGCTGCAGAAGGGGCTGTGGGGAATGCCGCGCTACAATGAGCGGACTGGTGGCTCCCGGCCTGGGTGCTACAGAGGCCCTGTCCGAAATAAGGTACATGGGGATTTCCCAAAATAGGGGTACCATTTTGCCTATTTTGCGGGTGCCATTGATAAGGACTCCAGTGACTATGGTATTTTGGGGTCGAGATTGGGGTCCCCTATTTTGGGCAACTACCAAATTCGTTGTTCAGCTTGCAGACATCCACGGCATGCAAGCACCAGCTCAATGATCAGCTGCAGGCTTGGAAACTTTAAGTGCAACGCTTTTCCACAGCGCGGGAGCGGATAGGAATCAGCATTGGCCGCGAAATGGAGCACAGTCGGCACCAAGCTTGAAAGTTGACAGGGCAGGGTATGCATAGTACACATCTTTTTTGTCTGCGAGAGCTCGGCGCACAGACAAGTCGTGAGACTCTGTAAGATCATGGGAGATACATGCGTGTGCAGGTCGGAAGCCGCGAAGACAAGCAAAATGGCAAGCTGGCAGCTTGGCAGCTTGCCCTGAGCAACTTGTGGGTCTTGGAGCATGCCCGCACCCAGCGCGACGTCCTTGCCCAAGTTCAGAGAAGCAAGAGGCTGACGTGGCTAACCGCATCTTTGCCCTGCAGATCTTGCTTTTGAAGCAACTGGGAGAGATTCTGACCCAGGTCGTGGATTTCACTGCAGCCAGCAGTGCTTGCCAGCGCTCTGCACGGTGGCACTTGTCTCTGCAAATTGTGGGGGAGCACCTCATCCGAATCGCACATTGCATATGCTTGTGCCGGTTCTCATTTGTTGTGGCTAGATAATGGGCACAGGCTTCGACACTGGACTCTGCGCGGCGATTGCTTTTCCAACAACGTCGGGCTCAGCAGCTTAGTGCGCGCCAGGAGCTGCGCTCAATCATCCAACCCCGTCTCAGAATCTCCTGTTGCAACCACTGGCTTGTGTTGTTGGTGTCGCAGTCGGGTTGAAGAATGCTGCTGGTTCCACTGCTCCGTCTGAGTCTATGCTCTAGTACGATTAGTACAAGTAGCTGCTGCCGGGGCAGCGGGTTGATGCTACCGAGGCAGCGGACTTAGTTGTGGTTTTCCGCCCCTTTTGCTATGTAGGCTTACTGTTGCAGGCCTTCTTCCAGCGGTGGATTGTCTTGAACTCCTTAAAAAGAGTCATTTTCAGTCGCAGCTACGCCTTCCCAGTTTAGAGCCAATACCTGCTGCCAGGAGGGGCTGGATGTCAGCTGCAAGGCTGCTGGCAGATGCCGATGCTGTTGGCCACACCACAGCGCCTCGGTTGTTGAATCTTGCATGTTGAAAGGGTCACAGAAGGGCCCCAGGTTTAAGGCCTTTCCCCTGCGCCCACACGCGTGCATTGCCTGCGGCGATGTGATGCAATACCTTGCTGTCTTTGGAGCTTTCTGGATGGAGGTCATGCGAGCTTGCGCTTCCGCGAGCCTTTGGTATCATGCAGTGGGCTTGCTTGCTCAGCTGCGGGAATTCGGCCTCCGCATCAACAATGTTGCGCCACTTGTCCATGCTAGGGGAGAACGTCACTTATTCCGCTGCGTTGATGTGTTCCTAGGTGCACATCTGGCCTTGCTGCTTGCGAGGCTTGCCTGGGGGGAACAGACTGGTATCCTGAAACGCATGGGATGAAAATGATGGAAACTGCTCTTGACGAAGTGCTAATCGCATTGTGTTGAGGCAGGCCGGATGTGGAAGCAAGCGCTCCAGATGGTTGAGGGTGTCATCTCTTGGAAGATCAAGGCAGCGTGTGCTTGTTCATGTGCGAAGTGCTTTGCTGCTTACCAAATACATGCATTCGCGTGTTTTGGTGTCCAGCCAGAGCCATTCTTTAGGTCCAGACACCACATGAGGGATGATAAAAACCCCGTAATCAGGTTTAAGAGGGAGCCCGTCCTTAAGTCAAAACCTTCTAAAACGATAAGAGTAAAAATGAACGATAACGGCAAAACCTTGTAAAACGATAAG